TATATATATATATATGTACACGCTTAGTTTCCGCACAAACATCCTGCGAATGGCTCGTATCGGCCTTACATATTTCTGTTGACAATTTCACGAGCGTTAAATCTTTGATTTTATATAATATTACATATAATCAGTAGCAAAGTGTTATACAATAGTTACTTTGCTATTAGAAAAATAGATACACGTACTTGTTTTGTACAGGATTTTCGAAATGCCAGTTCAATATATCAGTAAGATGTTCTTTGCATTTTACACCACCAAGAATACATGTCCATTTTAGAACTTCGTGATATACTTGATTATCAACGCTATTTTCGGAAACATTTTTGTGTGATGTATTTTCAAGAAAACTATTTAATATTGGTAATATTTTATCCTATAAAACAAAGTGTAAAGAGTGGTCAAAGATTTTATTTACTCTGAGACTTGTAAATAAACTTATATGTTTTTTATGTACAACTCATTGTATATTAAGTATTTATTGTACTTTGTTGCTTATTTTAATATTATTAATATATGTATGATGGAAAAAAACGTAGAAACAAACATAACGTAAAAACTGAATTTTATAACAGTAAGTCATTGAGATTATCTTTCATTTAGTTTTTTGTTTATAACTGTTTAAGTATGTGTTTTAGTAGTACATTGCAGTAATATTTACTTTGATCTTTGCGCTTTCTGGAAACGGAAATATTTTTGATACGTATTGAAGAGCAGTGAATATAGGATACCACGTTATGTAAGAATTTTTCTTGTCAATTACATTGCTTGCAAGATTAAAAAATATGTCTACATTATCAATATTTGCAACAGAATGCTCGTTGTACTTCGTATTTTGTATTAAAAAATAAAAAGCATCGTCGAGAATTTGGGCTAAAGTGACGTCAGATATTTTATATATATCCCAATGTTGTAGTTTTTCACTTTTCAGGAAGAGAGCAAGCTGTTCCCAAGATTTATAATCATAGTTTACGCGATATCCTATAACAAACAAATATTTAGAGAAAAAAATACAAAAAAACATAGAAAAATGCAGATAGACAGAAACAAAGGGAAAGAGAAAAAGAAAGAAAAAGCAAAAACCTTCTAATGTAAAAAAAAGACTAAGTGGAATATAGTGGCAAAACTGGTGACTATAAAATAAAACATATATAGGACACTACAATCATAATTTCTTTGTATTACCACTTTGCTCCGTGATCATGACAAAATCATTTTCTTCAATATTCGGAACAACAATAATTATTCCGTCTTGGTCTAGGTACGCCCAATGGTGTGTAAAAGACTCAGTCCTTGATAGTGTTATATAGGTTACAGGTATCCACCATATGTGTTCGCACAGTTCCTCTCGATTACCTCCCAAACAGTCTATAACTTTTATTGTCAAAGACTTTGTGTTATTGTCCCGTGTTACTTGTACCACAGGGTAACCATCTTGTGTTATCCAAGAATGTATCACATTTTTTATATTTATATTCATTAAAAGGCTATTGTTATATACGGTCGGGACAACTACTAAATTGTCCCATAAATTATCAAAAAATGACTGTTTATTGTATGTATTGTTTAACGTATTCCTACTAGTAACAACAAAGAACATAAAAAAATAGTAGTGTTAATTTTACTTTTTATTAAAGAATATGTGATACTTTTTACACTTTACTTATAGTGCAGCTTACGCTGTATTAAACATGTTTCAAAGTACTGTAATATCAATTACTCACTTGGTAGAATATAATTTCATCGCTTCCTCAAAAATGGAGTTGTATAGAACATTTTTGTTATCGAATAAAGTATTAATCATATAAAATATATTGAATGCTACAACATAATTCCAATAATGTAAAAGGTATGAGTAACTTATAATTAAAAAAATATGGTTAGTAATGTTGTTACATGCATACAATACTAACTGGATGACTGTACTTAATAATTCGGTGACATATCCGCGAACATTACAATGTATATTCTTAAAGTTTGTACAATTTTAAGATGTATTATTCAAATGATATAATATTCTTTTGCAAGTATATAAGCAAAGGCGTACTTCCTAGTTGTAAATACCGATTTTCTTTACCTTTCTCTTTCCACATTTTACTAAACTTTTTATTGTGGGACAATAAATTTTCCGGTATTGGTAAATCATATTCAATACATGCTTGCGTATATTCAAAAACTTCTCGTCGTGTTTGGATTACAATCGACTTCAGTAAAGTCTTAGTAGAGGTCTACCAACAATTTGTATGATTACACATATGTCTCTTCACATCATTTATGTTTACGTAAAATACTACAGTACTAAAATCTTTAGTATTTGTCACTAAAAAAAGTTCTAGTACCAGCAAAGTACTACTACACAAATCATTAAAAATGTTTGTGTAACAGAAACAGTAATTAAAAAACACATGTGACATTAACTTTTTCGAAAACACTACATTACAACTTTTTGTTAAAACACATACAGTTGTGTATATGTAATAGTAAATTTTGTATACTGTATACTATTAATCGTTTTTAGTAGAAATATAAAAGATACTTATATAAAAAGTTTTAATTTGTAATATTACATTATTTTACAAAAGTTTGTACATAAATATATATATTCAGAAAATTATTTATTATTAGTAAATATTATTAGGTACATAAAACTTCTGATTTTTACAATGCTAGAATGTTTTCTTATATTATATATATTTTACTATCATCTATAAAATAAATTTTAAATGCAAGACTTACCTGATCGTTTAGATAAACTCCGTAAAATGACAAAAACCCTTCTATAAACCAAGAATCAGAGTTTTTTAATGTAAGTAACCATTCACTGAACATTTCTTGCATCACACTGCGCACAACCAAAAGTGCTACTTCTTTTTTTTTTATAATCGAATCTACCTCTATATTGTATGCAATACTAGCCTCTCTGAAAGTAATACTGTTCTTACAACAATTCTGTCGTTTCAATTGTATGTATAATGGTTTTCAGTTAATTTTACCTGAAGACGACAAGTCCAGTAGTTACTATAGTTTTGTAATTGTTGGAGTGTATTGGAAGTACTACATACTGCACGTATGAAACTGATGTGCTATTTTCTATCTTGTTTCTAATGAACGTTGCAATATTGTTTATAAGAAATACTGCGTACGAAATGTCGTTTTGTACTTGTTCTCTGCTTTGCATTTTAAAAAGTTTATCCAACACGTTATATTTAGTGCATTCGGAAGGTACGACTACTGTTGCTATCAAATGAGTGGATATTTTAGGTGTCGTGTGGAATAAAGTATAAAGTTGATCGTTTTGCACTATTTTTTCACCAGGCATATTTGATAAAACTGTTTGATCGTGATCATGTTTAATTTGAATTGTAAATTTAGCCTTGGTTGCGGAATTTTTCCAATTCGAAAGTATCCAGTCAGCGGGAATACGCGGCAAAATCAAATTTCTATATAATGACAAAGCGTATATTATATAAATACATTGTTATTTAACTACTTAAGTTTATACATATTATTTGTTCTACAAAACGGAAGAAATACTTCAGTATTGTTTACTTACTTTTTTTCTTTGTTTGGATGTACATATGGAAAGATCGTTGCACTTATCTCTAAAATGCACTCATATTTCATATTTATCCAGTATATTCCAGGTATTATATCTACTTTACGCACCTCTTTTTTAGAGTTCATTTGATACTCTTTTTTAAGACTAATATCAATGACCAATTGGTTTTCCTCAGAGTATAGCATGTATTCCCAATACGAATTATAGACATTGATATCGACGTTACCATCATATAATTTGTTACAAGAACGTCCGAAATATAATCGTATATCTTGCAGTACACATGAAACGTTCAGTTTGACACGAGAATCAACAGTGAGAGAATTTTTTTGTGCGTTTGCAGAAACATTTATACGATATTCTATCGGGTGGTAACACTGCGGTACTTGAGATACATTTTCATCAGTTGAAGAAGCAATTCCGGTTAGAAATAGTAACCATATAATTCCAAAGAATGTAAACATCTGCGTACTGTGAATCTATAAAATGTGTTTGGTTATTAAACAAGACTTACATACATAAATACAAATGTAACAGACACATTTAGTATGTACAAATTAAATGTTTGCTTATTCAGATATAAAGGTCAAGGATAAATGTGTATGACCGTTGTAGGATATGTTTATCAGTAAGTTGCGATGTTTTTATATTTCTCAAGTACCCATACTTTCACATATTACTTGTCATAATTACGTTGGTTTTACCAATTTGACATGAAGAAGAACAATTGAAGATTAGAAAGTAGAAACGTGGTCATCGTTTTTGAGAACAAGATAATAGATATTTCAAGGAACAAAAGTATACTCGAAAAAGTTGTCTCTATTTTTTGTGCGCGTGTTATTTATATAGTATGTTACACATTGCAAATTATTTCAATGTACAACTAAAATTTTAAATCGTAATAATAGTTATATGTAATGTTAATGTATATAGAGTATTGACAAGTAATAAAATTCGTACAATGATAAAAACCAGTAGGTATTACTATTTAATTTATGAAGAAGAAAAACTGTCTCTATATTGTGTGTGTTTTAGCATATAATGAAAAACAGACGTTTTTTGTTATTTGACAACATAAAAAACTATATCACAAATATTACGATATTTTTATAACTTACCATGGTTGAAATAATATATTTATCACTTAAACTATAAATATTGAACATTACTTTATACGTTTTATTGCTGTAAGTTCAAAAACGAATTGCCTAAGAATATCTGCGATCATGCTTGGTCGCGAGATAATCGTTAACTACAAACCAGTCGTTTCCGTGAAATAATAAATACATATCACAATGTAAACGTCTGTATTGGGGGAACCGACCTTACTTAAGTTATATTATATACGTATACATATGTATAAAAATATGAGTTTCAAAATATGTATTTTTAATGTTCAATAGACATTCATATACAAACTTTTTTATTCAAAAGACAGTACAATATATATATGTTTTTCTGAAAGTATACAGGTGAAATAATATACCAAAAATCTAACAAAATTTTCAAAAAAGTATTTTTAAATGTGCTAATGTTGCGTTTGGGAATATGTAAAAGATTTGTTGCGGAGGAAATTAGTAATACAGGCGGAAGAAATACAACTACACTCGAGACACGTTAAGCGCAGTGTCAGTTTCAGGGGACTGACAGTTGACTTTCCGTTTAGACAGCGTCAGTCTCTGGAGACTGCCAAGAAACTTTCTGCCATTTCCATACTCAGTAACCCAATACTCAGCGAATTGTCGCCGCCGCGTCGTCACGCCGCTTGAACGGAAACCACAGCAAACTCGGCACCACGCTTAACGTTAAAATATTTATTGAATAATATTTATTGGAAAATATATTTTTTGTAATTATTACGTATAGATTTTGTACTTCTTGTTTTACGCAGAGATATGCCAGAACTTGCGTAGAGTCACACTTGACGCGAGCGTGGTGTTTTTTAGAAGTCTTTCTGCAAGTAGTATGTTCTACAACATTGTCGATCTGGATATTTCATCAAAAGTGGTATCATTAGTATGTGTCAGCTGAAAATGCATTTATTGTTCTTCTTCACACTAGTGCGGTTTATGTTTATAGAAACTGTCGCAACTATTTTTTAAAGGCAGATAAGGGAAATAAAAAATTATTTCTCGTTTTGCTTTTACTACTGATGTAAATAAAGCTCGATAGCATATTATTTATGGACACTACTGTACATTGATAAGATGATCTATATTGAGTTTCACGTTATTTTGTTACGATTTGTGAACAAGACAAATTAACTGATTACTTAGTAAATTGAATGTTTGTATTTATTTCTCGCCACAGTTCCGTAACAAGTGAGTTTTGATGTATCATTAAATTGTTTTGAAAAAAACAAATGTAATATGTAAAAAAAGCTTCTACAAACAGCGTTCTGATATTCACTGCCAGTTCTAAAAATTTATACCACATGTAACGTAAAGTATAGCTTTTTAGTAGTATACGCACGTATTCTCAAAATATTCACAATTTATTCTAAGCGATTGAGTGCAGACGCTGAAAACTCCAAACCTCTTCGTAAGAACGACATCTAATAAACACGCAAATTTTTCGTCATATAGTTTCTTTTACATTAGGAATACTTTATTTTACAAAATCAAACCAAAGTACAAAACAGCAAATTAGTAGACACAATCGTCAAAAACTGCCAAATTTTATTTTACAAATACTGTTTTTATTATAAGTAATTTTATATTACATATCTTTTTTTACCCATATTAAATAAAACACATAACACCTTTTTTTAAAATACATTATAATAAAATTATCATTTGTTTGTTTTTAAATACATACAAAAATATATTACAAGTAACATTATTTTATCATACATACATAACTTTGATATAAATTTGATTTTTCTATAACCTTTTTTTTCCACTTCATAGTTGTACATACCTGCATACTTGTTTTTATATAACGTGTGCTTTGTATTCGTTTGTGCGCAATTTATTCTAGTAAGATGTATAATTAATCGCTTTTGTGTGAAGATGATAGACAAAATATATGGTATATTTTTAGTATTTCAATTTATAAAAAAATTCAATTTTTTTATGAACAAGTTGCAATTATAACATAAATAAAAATCTCTAAAATATATTTCCGTAATCTAATACTACGTAAAATATATTTAAAATAGACATTAACTATAATTTACAACAAATTTAAAGTTATAAATAAAATCGAATTTTTTATATAACAGTATCCAATTCTTATAATAAGCGCTTGAACATGTACAAATATTTTTTTTAAATTAAATAAAAAAATAGCACACAAACATTAAAAACCACTTACTTTTTCATATTTTTGTAATCAAGTAAATCGTGGACTTTATAACGAATGTTATGTCGTGTTCTACTTACAAAACTACGACGAGACTCAACTTTTTTTACTATTATGTCGTTGATGAACATTGCCTAAAAAAGATTACAACATATATTTTTGATACTACATTGGATATATTTTGTATAAATATATTTTGTGAACTTTGTAACAATCTGTACACGATATGAATTATATTTTGTAATATTTAAAATCAAAGTAACAGGTTTAAATAAAAACAATGTACAAATACAAAACACAAACACTTTTATTCCTCTGTTTATAAAAAAAACTTTTATAAAAAAACTTTTACCGTGTGTACATCATATACGTCGAGTAGGTTTTCAAATACACGTACTACAGCCTTAGTAACCTAAAACAATCGTGTGATAATACTACTGAACGGAATGACTTGTGAAACTGTATTAAACATGATAATCTTATATTATGCTAAATTAAGAGTACATACAGTACTGTTATAATTGTAATACTTGCGTACTCATAAGTATTCATTAATAAGAGATATATTCTTTATTTATATATAGCTATATTGAACTATTACTTTTTCACAACGTACCATTTCGATATCTTCATCTAAATATATGTGGTTAATACAAAAATTCACAATTGCAAGTAGACTGATCTTTCTTTTAAATAAAACACACATAACAGATAGTTAGTACAAAATCTTTCTTAGTACACTTAAACTCTTATACAATATAAAAAAACAATTCACTTAAAGTGAATAAATCTAACGACAAATTCGATTGGATACACTAATGCGCACTGAGTGCCAATCGAAGTTGTAATATACATATATATAAAGTTGTAATATCATACTAAACTATATAAAAGTATAAGTGTAATGTACAGTACATGTACAAATAATATATAAATAGTATAAAAATAAATAAACAGTTCTCTATAAAAAAAATATGGTTACCTTGGAAATCTGTCTATTATTTTGCTTATTATAGTGTCCACTGAAGAAAAATCTTTCACATGTCTTGCAACAAGATCGAAAAGAATAGTAACAGAATCATTTTCTCGTATTGAATTATATTCAAGTTCAGATCGCAAAGTTTCTATACTATAATACAGTTTACAACAAGATAAAAATTGAAAGAATTGTTCTTTTTTCTCTTGTAACACGTATATGTCCTGTATTGTTTTCCACTTTATATACGTAGTTATTATTTCTTTTATCACACCTTGGCAATATATCCATCTCTGCCAACTTGGCAACAATCTGCAAATAGTTACAAGAAAATATATAATTTTACTCACACATTATTACTCGAACGGTTTTACATACTTTTCTTATGATATCAAAATGAAGTATCGACATTCATGTCACATTTGGTATTACGGTTTTACTAATTGTAGAAACAAGGAGTTTTTGACGTTATAGTTAACCAAATTTATACACAAATATACGTACTTGTAATGTACAAATTGATATACTTTGTAGAAATAAATGTAATATTTACAGAATAATTCAGTTGCAACCTTGTTGTGTTTACAATATCACAATTTTCTATCAACTCAGGGTACAGTTACATTGTAGTACATATAATCAGTAGCAAAGTGTTATACAATATTACTTTGCTATTAGAAAAATAGATATACGTACTTGTTTTGTACAGGATTTTCGAAATGCCAGTTCAATATATCAGTAAGATGNTCTTTACATTTTACACCACCAAGAATACAAGTCCATTTTAGAACTTCGTGATATACTTGATTATCAACGCTATTCTCGGAAACATTTTTGTGTGATGTCTTTTCAAGAAAACTATATAATAATTCTAATATGGTATCCTTAAAAAAAATGGAAACTGTGTTAATATCTTTTGGTGAATCTATATTTTTTACATAAACTTAAAAGTTTTGTATTACAAAATCAGAGTATGTTTGTTTTTGTAATCTATCCACGAGTTTGTTATAATATTGGTAATTAGTGTACATTTATAAATAAATGTAACTGTGTTTTGATTTTTTCTTTTTACGAACTCATATGTACAATACATAATAATGTTTTGTTGTCAGATAATGAAAGACAAATGCAGAACGTATCGTACCGTATACATTGTATAGTATTATATTGATGTATTGATTTTTTCTTTTATTTAAGTGTTCTTGTTAACTTTGTAATTTTAAATTTTTCTTCGCGCACTATAGTAATATTTACCTTGATTTTTGCGCTTTCTAGAAACGGAAAAACTTTTGATACGTATTGAAGAGCAGTGAATATCGGATACCATGTTATGTACGAATTTTTTACGTAAAGTACATTGCTTGCAAGATTGAAAAATATGTCTATATTACTACTGTCTGCAACAGGATGTTCGTTATACTTTGTATTTTGTATTAAAAAATAAAAAGCATCATCAAGAATTTGAGCCAAAGAGGAGTCAGATAATTCAGATACATTCCAATATATGGATATTGGATTTTTCAAAAAAGAAGCAATATCTTTCCAAGATTTATAATCATAGTTGACACGATATCCTGCAAAGAATAAATGTATAACAAAATTAATACAAAACCACAAACTTAAAAAAAGAGAAAGAGAAATAAAAAAAAAGAGAAACAAAACTAATAAAAAAGAAGAATAAAAGTAATACGGTGTTCAAAATTTTAAATGTAATATATACTATACATAAGACACTACAGTTATAATTTCTTTATTTTATACTACCATTTTGCTCTGTGATTATAATAAAATCATCTTCAAAGTGCGGAACATAGAAAGTTTTTCTTTCTGGAGTTAAACACACATGATAGCGTATACTACGCTCATTTCTTGATATTGTTACATAAGTTACAGGTATCCACCACTTGTGTTGACACAGTTCCTTTTTAGTGACTGTTACACAGTCTATAACCTTTATTATCAAAGACTGTGTGTCATTGTCTGGTGTTACTTGTACCACAGGGTAACCATCTTGTGTTATCCAAGAATGTATCACATTTTTTATATTTATATTCATTAAAAGGCTATTGTTATATACGGCCGGCAGTACTACTAAATTATTCCATAAACTATCAAAAAATGACTGTTTATTGTATGTATTGTTTAACGTATTCCTACTAGTAACAACAAACAGCATAAAAAAATAGTAGTGTTAATTTTACTGTTTATAGAAGGATATGTGATACTTTTTACACTTTACTTATTGTGCATTTTACGCTGTATTAAACATGTTTCAAGTACTGTAATATCAATTACTCACTTGGTAGAATATAATTTTATCGCTTCCTCAAAAATAGAGTTGTGTAAAACATTTTTGTTATGGAAGAAAGTATTCATCATAGAAAATATATTGAAAGCTATAACATATTTCCAATAATGTAAAAATTATACATATTTAATTAAGTTATAAGAAAACGAATATGGGTAATAATGTTGTCAAATGCATACAATACTAACTGGTTGACTATACTTAATACTTCGGTGACATATTTGCGAATATTATATTACTTATTCTCATTGTTTGTATATTTTTAAGAAATATTATTAAAGTGAGATTATTTTTATTTGCAAGTATAGAAGCAAAAGCATACGTATAAGTTTTAAATACTGATTTTTTAACTTTACCTTTTTCTTTCCACATTTTACTAAACGTTCTATTGTAAAGAAATACATTATCTTCTATTTGTATATCATATTCAATACACGCTTGCGTATATTCAAAAACTTCTCGTCGTGTCTGGATTACAATCGACTTCAGTAAAGTCTCAGTAGCAATCTACCAACAATTTGTATGATTACACATGTCAATTAGCACCGTTATTTATGTTTATGAAAATTACTTTAATCTTTAATATTTGTCAAAAAAAAGTTATAATAACAACTTATCATCACTAACATTATTAAAAATTTTGTATAACAGAAACAATAACTAAAACCGAAATGTGACATTACAACTCTCTTAAAAACAGAAAACACAATTCTTTATTTTAATTCACTATGTAATACATTAGGTTTATGTATATTATTTTGCATATATATAGTATTTTACTCACACATACATTTGTGTATATGTAATAGTAACTTTTGTATAATGTATACTAATTATCTTTCTAAGTAGAAATGTAAAACGTATTCTTATAAATAGGTTAAGTTTGTAAACTTAACTTATTTTACAGTATTTTGTATATTAATATATATATTCATAAAATTATTTATTATTAGCAACTATTATAAGTTACATAAAACTTCTTATTTTTACAATGCTAGAATGTCTTATTATTCTATATATATTTTACTATCAAAGTATATGTATGAAAGAAATTTCAAATGCAAGACTTACCTGATCGTTTAAATAAACTCCGTAAAATGACAAAAACCCTTCTATAAACCAAGAATTAGAGTTTTTTAATGTAAGTAACCATTCACTGAACATTTCTTGCATCACACCGCGCACAACCAAAAGTGCTACTTCTTTTTTTTTTATAATCGAATTTACCTCTATATTGTATGCAATACTAGCCTCTCTAAAAGTAATATTGTTGTTACAACAATTCTGTCGTTTCTATTATATGTTCGATTGTTTTAAGTTAATTTTACCTGAAGAGTACAAGTGCAGTAGTTACTATAGTTTCGTAATTGTTGGAGTTTATTGGAAGTACTACATACTGCACGTATGAAACTGATGTGCTATTTTCTATCTTGTTTCTAATGAATGTTGAAATATTGTTTATAAGAAATACTGCGTACAAAATGTCGTTTTTTACTTGGAATCTGCTTTGTATAGTACATGTATTTAACACGTGGACATGTGTAGTACACTCCGAAGGTACGATTGCTGTTGCTATCAATTGAGTGGATATTTTAGGTGTCATACGAAATAAAGTATAAAGGTGATCGTATTGCACTATTTTTTCAACAGGCATATTTGATAGAACTGTTTGAGCGTGATCGTGTTTAATTTGAATTGTAAATTTAGCCTTGGTTGTGGGATTTGTCCAATACGGAAATATCCAGTCAGCGGGTATACGTGGCAAAATCAAATATCTACATAATGAAAAAACGTAGATTGTATAACTACATTGGTAGTTAAGTAATAACGTTTTATAGGTATTATTTTCTTATAAAACAAAAGACATACTTGCTGCAGTATCGTGTACTTACTTTTCTTTTGTTTCTTTTTCAAAGATCATTGCACTTTTGTCTAAAATCCAATTATACCTCACATTTATCCAGTATATTCCAGGTAGTATACTTATTATTCGTACATTTGTTGCAGGGGGTTTCCGATATTGTTTTATACAAATAATGTTAACGAATGAATTACTTGTTTCAGAAAATAGCACATATACTATCCATTCCAGTGAAGTATCATTAAAGACATTCTCGACCGTACCATAGTAGAAATCGGTCAAATAACGTCCGAAATATAATCGTATATCTTGCAGTACACATGAAACGTTCAGTTTGACACGAGAATCAACAGTGAGAGAATTGTTTTGTACGTTTGCAGAAATATTTATACGATATTCTATCGGATGGTAACACTGCGGTACTTGAGATAAATTCGCATCACTTGATGAAGCAATTCCGGTTAGAAATAGGAAGCATGTAATTCCAAAGAATGTAAGCATATGCGTACTTTGAATCTGTAAAATGTATTTGTTTATTAAACAAACATTACATACGCAAATAAAAACGCAACACTTACATTTAATATGTACAGAATAAATGTTTGCTTTTTCAGATATACAGTCAAATTTCTCACAACGTATACAGTCGCGACAAGTCTCCCAAAACGTATACTTCCCATATTTTCTCACTCTTTATTTTGCGCGCATATGCAAAGACTTCCTTATTATATATTCATCTCGCGCTAGCGCAGTTTCGCTTGTAATCATACTTAGTGGTGAGAAAACCGATGAAGGAGAAAGTTTAAAAGTTTTGAAGTGGATGTGTATACACTTTGGGAGTATACGTTTTGGTAGGTTCGACTGTAAATATGAACAACAGATGTGTATGATTGTTATAGTGTATGTTTATCACTAGGTAGCACTGTTGTTTTATATTTCTCATGTACGGATAGACATACTTTCACATATTAAATGTCATGAATTCGTTGTTTTTATTATCTTGACATGTAGAAAGAAAAGTGAAGATTAAAAAGTAGAAAGTCTGTTGAACATTTTTAACAAGATAGTAGATATTTTGAGGAAAAAAATCATACTCAAAAAATTTTTCTCCATTTTTCGAGCGCGTTTTAATTATTTAATATGTCACACATTGTAATTATTACGTCAATGTACAACTACAATTGTAGATCGTAATAATATTTAGGTAATATGAATCTATGGAGCATTAACGAATAGTAAGACTTGCACAATATTGATAAATTAAAGTAAATATGAATTTTTAAATTATAAAGTAGAAAAAACAATTTCCATATTGATTTAGTGTATGATGAAAAACAGAAGTTATATTTAAAAACAAAAATTGTATTCTACAAATACTAAAGAAGCTTTTCATAACTTACCATGTTTAACATAATAATTATTTCTTAAAATATAAATCTTGAGCACTACTTTATACGTATTATCGCTATATAAGTCAAAAACGATTTGCCTGAAAATATCCGCGATCCTGCCTGTTCGAGAGATGATCGATAACTACAAGACAGTCGTTTTCGTGAAATAATAAATACATATCTCAATGTAAACGTCTGTATTGAAGGAACCGACCTTCCTTAAGTTATATTACGTATACATATATATAGAAATATGAGTTTCAAAATATGTATTTTCAATGTTCAAAAGATATTCATATACATACTGTTTTCTACAGAAAACATTTCAATACATATATGTTTTTCTGGAAAGATACAGGTGAAATCTTATACCAAAAATCTAACAAAATTCTCACAAACTTATTTTTAAATGTGCGTATGTTGCGCTCGGGAATATGTAAAAGATTTGTTGCGCAGGAATTTAGTAATAAAGGCGAAGAATTACGAATACACTCGAAACACGTTAAGCGCAGTATCAGTTTCTGAGGACTGACAGTGAACGTTTCGGTTAGGCAGCGTCAGTCCCTGGGGACTGTCAGGGAACTTTCTGTCATTTTCATACTTTGTAACCCAATACTCAGCGAATTGTCGCCGCCGCGTCGTCATGCCGCCTGAACGGAAAACACAGCAAACTCGGCTCCGCGCTTAACGTTAAAATATTTATTGAAAAATATTTATTGAAAACTATATTTTTTGTAACTATTACGTATAAATTTTGTATTGCTTGTTTTACGCAGAGACATGCCAGAACTTGCGGAGAGTCACGCTTGACGCGAGCGTGGCGTTTTTCAGAAGACTTTCTGCAAGTAGTATGTTCTACAACATTGTCGATACGGATATTTCATCAAAACGAAAGTGGTATCATTAGTATGTGTCGGTTGACAATGCATTTACTGTTCTTCTTTACACCAGTGCGGCTTATGTTAATAAAAACTGTCGCAACTATTTTTTAAAGGTAGATAAAGGAAATAAAAAAGTATTTCTCGTTTTGCTTTTACTATTGATGTAAATAAAGCTCGATAGCATTTATGGAAACTAGTGTACAGTGATAAGATGATATATATCGAGTTTCACTTTATTTTGTCACGATTTTTGAACAAGACAAGTTAACTGATTACTCAGTAAATTGAGTGTTTTCATTTATTTTTTGCCACAGTTTGATAACAAGTAAGTTTTGATGTATCAATAAAGTATTTTGAAAAAAAATGTACTATGTATGAAATTTTTCTGTAGGCAACGTTCTGATATTTACTGCCAGTTCTAAAACTTTATACCACATGTAAAGTAAAGTATAGCTTTTTTGGACTATCTAGAAAATAGCACTAAATATTGAAACGCCGTCACAATTATTAAGATTTTCCTTGTTTTCCTGTTGTGTCTGAATCACAATCGACTTTAGTAAAAGTTCAACATACATGTACCAACACATTTCAAATTTATTCAAATACCTATCTGAAAACTTAGTAGCTACTATAATATAATGTAAGGTTAATAAAAGCAATCTTTATGAAAGTTTTTAGTAAAAAAATTTAAACAGTAAAGCAAGTTATTAAAACTACGGCAAATGATTCATACATTAAATTATTATAAATTTATTTATGTATAATGTGTATAGTAAGAATATGTATATACTGTGAGAGAGATTACTCTTTCTCAACAAATTTTGTAAGATTAATATGTAATACGTACATAACTTGTTATTGTTCAATGTAAGCGCATTTACGCTATTTACAGACTACAGAAAAAAATTGCGTGTCAAAGCGCGTAGATGGTTATACGGATAGCATGATGTGCTTGCGGCACGAGATTTTGTAAAGAATCTATCAAACGTTATCGGAGAACTGCTCGTTTGTCGTGCGAAATCATTTCTGTGTATGAAACTTGGTCACGTGCTTACAGAAATACGCAAGAAATAATATTTACCCGTGGCTCGGTTGAGTGCCGATTGATTAGCTGATTGAAGTTGACTTATAATCGAAAGCTAGGCCAAGTCGCGTGAGTCGCGCATGGATTCGCAAAATAATCATGGCTTTTTCTGAGCGATCGAGTGCGAACGCTGACTCCAAAACTCTTTGTAAGAACGACATATGATAGACACGCGAAACTTTCGTCATATAGTTTCTTTTACATTAGAAATACTGTATTTTACAAAATTAAACCAAAGTGCAAAACAGCAAAGTAGTATTGTTATATACGTGACATTTTTCATCTTGCTGTAACGTCAACTATTACCAAAAATATTTTTTTAAAGAAATTATAAAAATAAAGTGTTTCATGGTTTGTGCGCGTGTGAATGAAACAAAATGAAAGTATTTAAATAACAATCAATTAGGTCTTGTGAAACGTTAGTTATAAAAACAATCTTACTTTTGTTTTTACTAATATTTAACATATATGTAATATAACCTTATTTTACTTCTTTAAATACTTACTTTTGCTGTGGCTGATATTAATCAAACTGCTACTATATGTTTTACTTTCTCGATGACTACGATTTCGATGATGCTGATGACGGACAGCAATGTTTCCAGTATCGGTAAAGTTGCAGTATTATATATAAGTATGCTTCTAAGTAATAAGCGATAAATAGACAAAAAAATGATACCTAGATAAGAAAATCTCTTTGATTGTAACACAATTTTATTCACAGCACAGTAGTCAGAAACAAATGTTAGATTCCATACAAATGTTTCTACAGAGATTTTCTTCAAAAACATTGCACATTGATAAAACTTAAGGAATTGTCATAATATAATAAAGATTAGTTTGCAAATACACTTTTTTATTATACAATGCATATTTGTGTTCAGACGTATTAAATAAAAAACAGAATAACTTCTACTTAAATACATTATAATAAAATTATCATTTGTCCGGGTTTTAATACACAAAACATATAACGAGTAACATTATTTTATCATACATAAAACTGTTTGATATAGATTTTGTTTTTATATAAACTTTTTCGTACATATCATAATTTTATATCCTTACATATTTGTTTTTATATACTGTTAACTTTGTAATTTTTTGTGCGCAATTGATTATAGTTAACTATATAATATACTTAATAGCATTTTTTGTGTATGATGACGTATAGAATATTATTTACATTTTTCAAAAATTCAATTTTCTTTTATGAACAAATTGCAAATTATTACATAAACTAAAATCCGTAAAATATATTCCCGTACTGATATACGTAAAATATATTTAAAATAAAAATTTACTATAATTTACAATTAATTGAGTGTCATAAACAAAATTGAATTTTTTATATAACAGTATTCAATAATATAATAGTAAGCACATGAACATGAACAAATATTATTTTTCAGTTAAATAAAAAATAGCACACTAATATAAAAGAAAAACTTATTTTTCCATATTTTTGTAATCAAGTAATTCGTGGACTTTATAACGAATGTTATGTCGTGTTCTACTTACAAAACTACGGCGAGACTCAATTTTTTTTGCTATGATGTCGTTTATGAACAGTGCCTGAAAACGTTTGCACCATATATTTTCGATACTACATTGGATATATTTTGTATAAATATATTTTGTGAATTTTGTAACAATCTGTACACGATATGAATTATATTTTGTAAAATTAAAAATAAAAGTAACAGTATTAAATAAAAATAATGTACAAATACAAAACAAAAACATTTTTATTTTTCTGTTTCCAAAAAAAACTTTTATAAAAAAACTTTTACCGTGTGTACATCATATACGTCGACCAGGTGTTTAAAAAGTAGTACTACAGCTTTAGTAACCTAAAACAATCGTGTGATAATACTACTGAACGTACTGACTTGTGAAACTGTATTAAACATGATCATCTTATATTACGCTAAATTAAGAGTACATACAGTATTGTTATAAGTGTAATACTCGCGTACTTATAAGTATTCATTAATATATATATATAAGAGATGTATTCTTTATTTATATATACTTATATTAAACTATAAGTTTTACCCAACGTACCTTTTCCATATCTTCATCTAAATATATGTGGTTAATACAAAAATTCACAATTGGAAGTAGACTGATCTTTCTTTTAAATAAAACACACATAACAGATAGTTAGTATAAAATCGTTCTTAGTATACTTAAACTCTTATACAATATGAAAAAACAATTTACTTAAAGTGAATAAATCTAACGACAAATTCGATTGGATACACTAATGCGTACTGAGTGCCAATCGAAGTTGTTGTAATATACATATATATAAAATTGTAATATTATACTAAACTATATAAAAGTATAAATGTAATGTACAGTACATGTACAAATAATATATAAATAGCATAAAAATACATAAACAGTTCTCTATAAAAAAAAAATTTGGTTACCTTGGAAATCTGTCTTTTATTTGGCTTATTATAGTGTCCAATGAAGAAAAATCTTTCACATGTCTTGCGACAAGATTGTAAAGAATAGTAACAGAATCACTTTCTTGTATTGAATCATATGCAAGTTCAGATCGCAAAGTTTCTATACTATAATACAGTTTACTACAAGATAAATATTGCAAGAATTGTTCATTTTTCTCTTGTAACTCGTATATGTCCCGTATTATTTTCCACTGTATATACGTAGTTATTATTTCTTTTGTCACACCTTGGCAATATATCCATCTCTGCCAACTTGGTAACAATCTGCAAATATTTACAAGAAAATATATAATTTTACTCACACATTATTACTCGAACGGTTTTACATACTTTTCTTATGATATCAAAATGAAGTATCGACACTCATGTCACATTTGCTATTACGGTTTTTCTAACTGTAGAAACAAGGAGTTTTTGACGTTATAGTTAACCAAATTTATACACAAATATACGTACTTGTAATGTACAAATTGATATACTTTGTAGAAATA